ATCTGTATCTGCACATTTTTATTAAAAAAAGAATTATACTAAACATAATGTTTCACGTCTATCATGACGATCCTCAGTAGCTACAATTCTTTGAACAACTCATATATATATATATATGATTTTTGATATTTTAAATAACTCCCCCCCCTTCTTTTTAGGCTGAACACTTTTCGATTACAATTTGGTATACTGTTTAAGACGCATCAACCCTGCTTTTAAATTTTTTTATCTTAAACAGATGTTTTTTTTTACTTCTTTTATGAATATATCTGACCTTGTTCACATCAACAATAAACTCTTCACTGAACAAAATATATATATAATTTAAAATTCGGTGATGTTGATGTACCAAACCTTTGTAGAGTAAAAAAAGTAGATACGTTAGTTCCACATTTACTAAAAATATATTTCGGTCTGACCCTTGTCAGTTCTAAAGATATAATAACCATCAAAATCGATTAAATAAAAAATTTAAAAAAATATATATAATATTATTTTTGACATTTATCAACTTTACGGTGATTTTTTTAGGCATAATTTCAAATATTGTTTCTGAATATTAAAGGGACAGACCGGCTATGTAAGGTAGTTGAACTGAGTATGCCGTGTTGTGGAAAAAAATCTTTAGGGAACATTTGAGACAGATAAAACTTTTTAAAGATCTGTGAATCCTGAGTTTGAGTGCATAGTCAACGTTCCAAATCAGGAATTTGGGTGGATACGTTTTCAGAATCGGTTGTTTTTTATAATATTAAATAACGACGACGAAAAATAAATAAATGCTAGAATCAATTATTTCGTTTTCAACATTATATTGAATTTCTTATTTTCTATGTATTTTTTAGCAGATTTCTTCAAATTCTTCAATTAACGTCTTTTCAATAATAATTCCAGAAAATCTGCAGAAAACTTTGTGAACAATGAGAAACTAGAACAATGAGAAAATATAAACTAATAATTGAACAAGATTACTTATTTTAGATGTTAAGATTAATTTTTATTTTCTCAACCTGTTTCTAAACAACTAATTAGTTGTACTGTAGAATTTTGCTTACATTTTTTGTCGTCGTTATTTAATAGTTAAAATAAAAACAACTTTGAAAACTTATCCACCCAAAAAAACGATTTTGAACGTCGACTTTACGCCAAACTCAGGATTTACAGATCTTTAACCCTATTCCCGCTGGGGGGGGGGTCAATTTGACCCCCCCCTGTAGTTTTTTTTACATAACTCAAAAAGTATTGGTCTGAGGCTGTTGAAATTTTCTGACTTTTCTTACATACCCAAAGCCCTCCCTTTTGTTTTCAAGTACCCCAGCGGAGATAGGGTTAAAAAGTTCTATATGTCTCACTGCATATTCAGTTCAACTACCTAACATAGCCGGTCTGTCCCTTTAAGTTAAAGTTAAAGAGACTGTCATTGTTATTTCAAGTGATCCTCCATGTTAAGAAGGACATGTATCCGACTCATAACGATTCCAATGAAACTTTTTTCTGATCAATTACGTGGAATATAAGGCCATTTTTTAGCTTGAAAAGTGCTGGTTATTTTAGAAGGAGAAATACACTGTATATGTAAAAAACCCAAACTTAGAAATAATTTGTTTTTAAAATTATAAACATGGATATCTAAATCATAACAGATCTGAAAAAGCTTTTTAGGGTACCGTTGTAAATCGGACATGTCAGGTCACTTGAAATACGCCTGTACATGACCCTTTCAGAGTGAACACTTTTATTTTTGAAAACTGCAATTAATATTGTTTTATAAATATTCATCAGTTTTATTTTACAATAATAATGTTCAATTAGTCATACAACAACAACATTTTACAATAATACAACAACAACATTTTTGAAATAATTAAATATTTTCCGTTTTTAATATTTATAGTTTTAACCTAGTTTTAGTTTCAGATAAATATACAGTGTAAAATAGAAAATTAGAAATTAATAAGTTTTATTTAATCCTTTTGTGAGTAATACTTTAAAGGGAGTGACCGGCTATGTAAGATAGTTGAACTGAGTATGCAGTGTTGTGGAAAACTTCTTTCGGATTCATTTGAGACATATAAAACTTTTTAAACTCCTACTTTGGGGGTGGATACGTTTTTAGAATTAGTTTTTTTAAATTATTTGAATTAGAGAGGATATTCTATAATTTCAATGGTTTCTTAGTAAATCTATAATTTTAGCAGAAACCTTAATATTTTGTTTTAAACCCTAAGCAGGCGGAAGGGGGGGGGGGCGTTTTTTTTAATGCATAGGGTAGGATACAGCCGGAGTTTTGTTAATCGTTTTTCAATCATTTTCAAAAACGATTGTTTCGTTTTCGGAAAAAATATCGTTTTTTAAAAACGACCCACTCGTTTTGAACTATAAAAAAGCGAATAATGATAGTTTTTGAATACGATCGTCTAAAAAAATAAGCGATCGTTTTTTATACGAATGTTTTTTTAAAAACGATCGTTTCGTTTGTCGTTTTTTTGTCGTCGTTTTCATAAGAAAACAATCATTTTTCAAAAAAATGAGAGGATTCATCCATATGTACAGGGCGGTCTGTGTAAAAAAAAATCTAAAATAGCCCATACCTCTCTTGTGACTAACGCTACAAAGATCAAAACTATATTTTTGAAAAGCCCTTGATAAATGGATGTAGAATATTTGTTTATAACAAAAATAAATATTTTGGACCATTTTTTGACAATTTTTTTGGCATTTTTTTCACTCCTCTCTAGCACCCAAACTATTAAAGTTATCGGTCTAAATTTTTTTAATGAACTGACCTTGAAAAATTGTGCTAAAACATGGCCTTTTCTAAGGCGGAGGGGGGGGGGACATAGATTCAGACCCCCCAGAAAATCTAGAAAAAAGGGGGAAATATGAGTAAAAGATTGTATTTTTCGATTGTATAAAAAATAAAGATACACGGGCAGCCGTAGTAAATTTGAATTTCCGAGCCGGGTCAACCTTTCCGGTCCCAGTTTGTACTTCATCGCCCGGACATTTGGGTAAATAAAGCAGACACTCAATAGGACTAGCCGGTGCAACAAGGTTGACGCGGTGAGACTTCAGGTTGAATTAACTTTTACAGAAGGGTCAGAGGTGCGTGGGTACTGGGGAGATGTAATAACCATACATTTTTTTATTGTTGTAGACTGTATTTTTTGATTTAATTAAAAGTTGTAACCATCAACAAAAATTTCTTTTTCGATAAATAATTGCTTTCTTTTTTAGTAAACTTTAAAGGTTTTGACATTTCAAGTATGTTGAGATAGTAGGGGGAAGAAGGGGTGGGGAGAGGGAGGTGGAAGGTATTGATCCTAACATTTATATGTTATTATATATTTATATATTCCTGATAGATTCAGCCAAGGAGAAGGACTTCACCAATAGGAGAACAAGGAATCCACAGACCAACATTTTTACAGATTTTCAAATCAGATTTTGTAAATGTATCTTTTCACGTTTTAACATTATATACTGAAATGACTTTACAATACAATTTGTCGTTAAATGATTAACAAAATTTGATTATCAATTAAAAATTTCGGTGATGGCCATGGACCAAAACTCTTAGAGTAAAAAAGTAGATGTTAGTTCCACATTTTATTGAAATATATTTCGGACTGGGTTGACCCTCGTCAGTTCTAACGATATAATAACCATCAAAATCGATAATAAAAATTGTTGAAAATCACAAGAAAATAAACAAATAAAAAAGCTTATTATAAAACAATGGACAAAAGGGAAACGAACTTATATCATGAGATAGAAAAAAGATTATTTTCAAATATTCACTTTTTAAAGAATGTTTTCAGAAAATTATTATTCCTTGAAATTGTTTCTGTCAGGAAGATTAAAAACAAACTGTGTGTATAAAGTGGTTGTGGGGGTCGATCTAATTAACGAGATTTTNGGGGGCGGCGGCTTGTTTAAGGAGGGGTATTTAAACCTTTTAAAGAATTGGACATAAACAATACTCTTTTTTTTAGATACTGAATTAAAGTTTACAATTAAATAAAAACTTTTTTTTTCTGTTCCTCTGAGTTCAGTCATAGTTAATCTCTAATGTATTTAGATTCTTGTACTTCAAGTAAACTTCTCCCAAGGTTCTAAACCTTCTCTAGAACGCAAACTTTAAGATAGTAGAGTTCATGTCCAGGTTGGAATATCAACCAATCAAACATTAGGATTCAGTGGAAGCCATAAAAGACGACTGTTATACTCAAGGTATGATTTTGAATAGTGAAATGAACATGAAACATGTTTTATAACAACATCCAACAGACGTAAGATTACTTAAACTTTGTCCATTAAAAATTATTGTTAGGCTCAAGCTTTGATTTTAAAAAAGTCTAATAAACAGGAAACACAGCAATTGTTCATGGTATACATTATGCTTTATAACAATATCAAATACACGTAAGATTGTTTATATTTCGTATATAAAAGATGACTTAATGTACTTGACATCAATTCACTGTACATATAAGTCTTAACTTATATAAATAACTTGTATAAAAACTGTTTCCTTAACAATGGTACATTTTGCTGTTTATTGTTTGTTTCTACTGTTCCTCGAATTTGCTGCTATAGTGTGAACAGTTGGACGATATCCAAATATACAGCTACAGCCTACAGGGTGTCTTTATATCGTCAAAATATACACAGCCTACAGGGTGTCTTTTTATTGTCAAAATATACAGCTACAGCCTACAGGGTGTCTTTATATTGTCCAAATATACACCTACAGCCTACAGGGTGTCTTTATATTGTCCAAATATACAGCTACAGCCTACAGGGTGTCTTTATATTGTCCAAATATACAGCTACAGCCTACAGGGTGTCTTTATATTATCCAAATATACAGCTACAGCCTACAGGGTGTCTTTTTATTGTCCAAATATACAGCTACATCCTTCAAGGTGTCTTTATATTGTCCAAATATACAGCTAAAGCCAACAGGGTGTTTTTATATTGTCCAAATATACAGCTACATCCTACAGGGTGTCTCTATTTTTTCTAAATACAGTGCTACAACCTACAGGGTGTCTCTATATTGTCCAAATACACTGCTACAGTGTACAGGGTGTCTCTTAAATGACAATTTCCAATGATAGAAGTTCATTATTTTTTTTCAACTTGTTTGTTACGTGTTATGTTATTTAAGAATTGTAAAAAAACGTTTCTTCTGCTGACTGAAACATACAGGCGAAATATTACAAACGACTTTACGCTCTTATTTAAAAATTTTAAACAGAAAAAATGTCTCAATGGTATCAAATGAATCCCAAAGTTTTTCTATATATACATTACCGCACGTTCAGCTTAACTACCGTGTCTAGCAGGTCTCTCTCCTTTTAAGACTGATCCGAATAAAAAAAAAATTTCCTAACATTTTAACATCTTAAAAGTCTATTAAAGAATCAAAAAATTGATACCATAGACAAATGTATTTGAGGTTTTTATTCTACTGCTGCCAGCATTTATATGTCCATAATTCTGGACATAAATTCGAATATATATCCGTAATTCTGGACATAAATTCGAATATATATCCACAATTCTGAACATAAATTCGAATATATTCATAATTCTGGACATAAATTCGAATATATATCCATAATTCTGGACATAAATTCGAATATATATCCATAATTCTGGACATAAATTCGAATATATTCATAATTCTGGACATAAATTCGAATATATATCCATAATTCTGGACATAAATTCGAATATATATCCATAATTCTGGACATAAATTCGAATATATATCCATAATTCTGGACATAAATTCGTATATATGTCCATAATTCTGGACATAAATTCGTATATATGTCCATAATTCTGGACATAAATACGTTACACTATAAAACTTCTTTTCACTTATAAAGAGAAACCACAACAAAAAAGATCAATTTTTAGGTAACAAAACTAGTAGTTCTCATTCATCCTCATCCTTGATAATAAGATTTATACATATATGTTCACTTGGAATTACGCGTCAGTCCCTTTAAATTTTCCCGCGCGCTTTCTAAAGAATGTGAATATATAATGTTTGAACAGCTGAGCCTAGGGGTCAACTCTACTGTTTCTAGTGGACATTCATACAATATCATATACACAGAGTAGAATGTTCGAGAGGTCAGATATCATATTATTCATTACAGTACTGTACAGTATTTGTAATTTAACAGTGTTGTGTACTGTACTATACAATTGTGTACTGTACTGTAAAGTTGTGTACTGTACTATATTGTTGTGTACTGTAATATAAAGGTATGTACTGCACTATACAGTTGTGTACTGTACTATAAAGGTGTATGCTATACTATACAGTTGTGCAGTATTGTGTTGTGAAGTTGTGTACTGTACTGTTAATATGTGTACTGTACTGTAAAGTTGTGTACTGTAATATAAAGTTGTGTACTGTATTTTACAATTGTGTTCTGTACTGAACAGTTGTGTACTGTAATATAAAGATGTGTACTGTACTATACAATTGTGTACTGTACTGTACAGTATTTTGTTTTGTACAATGTTGTATACTATTCATTGTAATTTGGCGATTGCAGTGTTATAGTATAATTACATCACTGTACGGTGTTTTGTAAAAATAGTTGGGCATGGGCAACACCGTATACTTCTCCTAGTTGTAGAAGAGCCTGAAGTTGTAAACAAATAATATTTAAAACTTAAATCAATTGATCTAACAGATTTCATACTTTCAATTATTTGGTTGCAAAGATAAAGGATTAGAACATTTTTGTTTTGTGACAAAAACTCAGTTCCTTTTAACTTATCGCAGGTTGGGTGAGATTATTGAGAACAAGGAGAGATATCTCTCCGACAAAGACCTTCCGGAGGTAAAATTTTTACTCAGTTTTTAAATGTCGTCTTCCTCATACATGAGAGAATTAGAAATCCTTAAAAATCTACAAAACTTTCTTTTTCGTAAGACACTATGTATTAAAGATATTATAAAATATGTTTTTTTTCAAACAATGAACACAACTTTTATTTTTGCAATATCAAGTTTAAAAAAAAACTATTTCACTATGCATTTCGATGTACGGTTAGCTATTCAACTGTACAGTTCCTAAACTATTCAATAGTACAGTTCCTGTACTATTTAACTGTACAGTTTCTTAATTATTTAACTGTACGGTTCCTTAACTATTCAATTGTACAGTTCCTTAACTATTCAACTTTACAGTTTCTTAACTATTCAACTGTACAGTTCCTTAACTATTCAACTGTAAAGTTCCTTAACTATTGAATTGTACAGTTCCTTAACTATTCAGTTGTACATTTTCTTAACTATTCAACTGTACAGTTCCTTAGCTATTCAACTGTACAGTTCCTTAACTATTCAACTGTACAGTTCCTTAGCTATTCAACTGTACGGTTCCTTAACTATTCAACTGTACAGTTTCTTAACTATTCAACTGTACAATTCCTTAAATATTCAATTGCACAGTTCCTTAAATATTCAATTGTACAGTTCCTTAACTATTCAATTGTACAGTTCCTTAACTATTTAACTGTAAAGCTCCTTAACTATTCAGCTGTACAGATCCTGAACTATTCAACTGCACAGTTCCTGAACTATTTAACTGTACAGTTCCTTAACTATTTAACTGTACAGTTCCTTAAATATTCAACTGTACAGATCCTGAACTATTCAACTGCACAGTTCCTGAACCATTCAACTGTACAGTTCCTTAACTATTCAACTGTACAGTTCCTTAACAATTCAACTGTACAGTTCCTTAACAATTCAATTGTACATTTCCTTAACTATTCAACTGTACAGTTTCATAACTATTCAACTTTACAGTTTCTTAACTATTCAACTGTACAGTTCCTTAGCTTTTTAACTGTGCAGTCCTTTTATCTATTCAACTGTACATTTAATTTTCCTTTGTAACTTTACAATTCCTTTCTTGATACAACTGTACAGTTTCTGTTTATGCTTTCTATATACAACTGTACAGTTTCTGTATATGCTTTCTATATACAACTGTACAGTTTCTGTATATGCTTTCTATATACAACTGTACAGTTTCTTTATACAACTGTACAGTTTCTGTATATGCTTTCTTTATACAACTGTACAGTTTCTGTATATGCTTTCTATATACAACTGTACAGTTTCTGTATATGCTTTCTGTATACAACTATACAGTTTCTGTATATACTTTCTATATACAACTGTACAGTTTCTGTATATGCTTTCTATATACAACTGTATGAATGTTACATTATTAAAGCTTATTTTCTTTGAAATATTAAAATTAAGCCTGTTTTCCCCACATTTACTTTATTATGCAATAAATCTTAAGAACTTTGCTTTCTATCCAGTTTTACATAAATGTTTTGAAAACCTCATTCACTCGCTCAATTACTTACTCACTTAATTACTTACTCATTCAACTACGTACTGACTCAATGAATTACTCACTCAACTACTTACTGACTCAATGAATTACTCACTCAATTACTTACTCACTCAATTACTTACTCGCTCAATTACTTAGTCACTGGACTACTCCCCAACTTAATTACTTACTCACTGAACCACACTTACTTACTCAACTACTCGCTTACTCAATTACTTTAAATTATTCACTCTATGATTCACTTATTACGTGTACTCACTTGCACACTCTTTCTTATTTTTAAACCATATTTAGGTGTTTCTCTGGTTTCCAATAGACAAAAACTACATTGTCATTATTATTATTACTGTAGGGACTGGTGGATTAAACGAGACAGTTGAGCAGACAACAGAACGTCTGATTAAACGAACCAAACAAATTAGAACTCAGCTTCATAGGTGAGGATAAACTGATAAACACAAAAATAAATAATGAATTTTCATAAAAATTTGATTTTTTCAAATTATGTTATCTGTCTTTTATATATTTTGAAGGTTCCTTTTGAAGATTGTACATTTTGGGAATTGCCCTTGGGAAGTTGCCCTTGGGAAATATTTATTAATATAATATCACATAAATTATTTAATATATTTATTTAATAAAATATAATATTATCTAAACTATACAAAAATAACAAAATTCAACAATTTTCAAATCAAAAAGACAATTTCACATTATTAATCAGATAAAAATTCAATTGGTACCATTGTGAATCGGGACACTCTATATATTGAAGTTCACATGAAAGTTTTCTTAAAGAGAGTTTTCGCGAAAATTGAATGGGGGTATAGTATAGGATGACTCAAGCATCAGATGAATAAATGAAAGTTCCCGTAAAAACAATTATTTTCTAGGATTGCGAGTGGCCTGGATGTTGTAGGTGAAGAAAGGCTTCTAGAATATTTAGAAATAAGGAAAATACAAGTTTTAATAGATTTGTTTTTCCTTTGAACTAACCCCTATAGCTTAAACAAAAAACAGCATGCACGAACATTGAACTAACCCCCCCCCTTATAGTTTGAACAAAAAAACAGCATGAACGAACATTGAACTCCCCCCTAGTTTAAACAAAAAACAGTATGCACGAACATTTAACCCCCCCCCCCCCTAGTTTAAACAAAAACAGCATGCACGAAAATTGAACTCCCCCCCTAGTTTAAACAAAAAACAGCATGCACGAACATTGAACTTCCCCTCCCCTCTTATAGTTTAAACAAAAAACTGCATGCACGAACACAAGAAAAACAGTAAATCAATTAAAATATATTTTACAAATACCATTTTAAGCTTAGCTAAGCAATATGATGCAATTTTTAAAAAAAATGCCACTCTTTCAGATAAAAAAGAAAAAATATATATAAATGAAAGATTTGATCGTCAATTTTGAATACCTATTGAATATGAACAAAGTAAAAAGTGCTGTAAAAAGTTAGGGGTCCCGATTCTAATTTAATATTTGTATGTCACGCCCTAATGCAAGACTCGTTTTTTATAATTTATTTCTATAAATAATGTATTATACAAAAGCTTTCTATACATTTTATCAAAATTTTCCATCAATAACATTTCATGTGTTTAAATTCTTAATGACTTTACCTTGTGGTGGAAAACATGTTTGTATTGAATAATAATAATTTATCTTGTAGACGGTATTATTCTTTTAAATAATACCCACCCATTGATTAACAAAAAAGTAAATATTTTAGCAAAAATTCTAACAAAAATTCGAAAAAATAAGCTTTGCTATAGGCAATACTACAATGTGAACCTTTGTCATAAATTCAAATGATCCTCACTTAACATAAATTTCTTAAATTTTTATCTGAAAAAAGATCATTTTAAATTGCAGTATTTCTGTGTCAAAGAAGGACATTGACAAAAAATTATCGTTTTTAAGAAAGAAAACAATTTTATCTTCTTAATTTTAACAAGTTCAATTTCAACAAGTCTTAAAAATATGTATCTAATTGTATTTTGTTCCCACAGAGAAACAATCTCAGAGCTTTCAGATCTGTTAAAACAGTGCAATGTAGACACTAATAAGGTATCTTATATGTAAAATATATAAAGTAGTAATCTCTGTTTGGTGTGTGTTTGTATGTCTGATCATAGCTCATGCATCCCTTGACCTTTCCCTTTCTTCTTTATATAAAAGGTTTTTGCGCCCATATATATTGGAAGAAATATATATTTAAACTGAAAAAAGTTGAAAATTAGCTAGCCAAACGACTGGACCAAATTACTGTGGAAACCTATGGGTTCCCTGTTGGTAACGGCTTAACAAATGTTGACATTTTTTCAAAATTCGAAATTCTTTTTTAAAATTGTGTTTTTAAATTTCCACGGGCAACACCGAGCACATCAGCTATAGTAATATCTATATAATAAATCAAGACATTCATATTTGCGTTGCCTATAGCCGGCAAAACGGCTGAACAGAATAATTGTATACGTCCTAGATGGAATACGGTGTATGTCCTCAATAAACTACAGTGTGCGTCCTCAATGAACTACAGTGTGCGTCCTCAATGAACTACAGTGTGCGTCCTCAATAAACTACAGTGTGCTTCCTCAATAAACTACAGTGTGCGTCCTCAATAAACTACAGTGTGCGTCCCCTCAATGAACTATAGTGTGCATCCTCAATTAACTATAGTGTGCGTCCTCAATAAACTACAGTGTGCGTCCTCAATGACTAAACTACAGTGTGCGTCCTCAATGAACTATAGTGTGCATCCTCAATTAACTATAGTGTGCGTCCTCAATAAACTACAGTGTGCGTCCTCAATGACCTACAATGTCCGTCCCCAATGAACTACAGTGTGCATCATCAATGAACTACGGTGTGCGTCCTCAATGAGCTACAGTGTGCGTCCTCAACAAACTACAGTGTGCGTCCTCAATGAACTACAGTGTGCGTCCTCAATAAATTACAGTGTGCGTCCTCAATGAACTACAGTGTGCGTCCTCAATAAACTACAATGTGCGTCCCTAATGAATTACAGATTGCGTCCTCAATAAACAACAGCGTGCGTTCTCAATAAACTACAGTGTGCGTCCTCAATAAACTACAGTGTGCGTCCTCAATAAACTACAGTGTGCGTCCCCAATGAACTACAGTGTGCGTCATCAATAAAATATAGTGTCTGTCCTCAATGGACTACAGTTTGCGACCTCAATGAACTACAGTTTGCGTCCTCAATAAACTATAGTGTGCGTCCTCAATCAACTACAGTTTGCATCCTCAATGAACTACAGTGTGTGTCCTCAATGAACTACAGTGTGTGTCCTCAATAAACTACAGTGTGTGTCCTCAATGAACTACAGTGTGTGTCATCTATAAAATATAGTTCGCGTCCTCAATGAACTACCGTTTGTGTTCTTCATAAACTACAATGTGCGTCCTCAATAAACTACAGTGTGCGTCCCCAATGAATTACAGTGTACGTCCTCAATGAACTACAGTGTGTGTCCTCAACGAACTACATTGTAAGTCCTCAATAAACTACAGTGTATGTCCTCAATGAACTACAGTATGTGTCCTCAATAAACTACAGTGTGCGTCCTCAATAAACTACTCTTACTCTAGCATCTCTATTTAACAACAAAAAATGAAAAATGAACGGGCTTAATTTATTTCAAATTGAAGTGATATATTAAAGTATAATATAATAGATGTTGTGTCAGATTAAGATATAAAGTTGTTAACCATTAATTTCAAAACCTCTGTAAAATGTCGTCTTCTACTGGAATCTCCTGTCGGAGACAGCCAAACCAAATTTCAGCCCGCTAATTCCATTGTCCTCCTCCGACGGAGCTTGAAATATTTCGTTGTTGTGAAATCATTAAAGTTAAGCAAAATATTTTCATAAGAAGCATAAGTGAATTTCGTTAAATATTCAACTGTAATTTTTTCAGAAGTTAAAAACGTATTTCAATACTGACCAACAAATAAATCACCCCTTCCATACTTAAATAATTCGTAAGATTTTTTCCACTATTAACATTCATTATAACATTGTACAATTCAACATGACCTATAATTTATGTTATTTTTTAGGAAATAAAGATTTTGTTATCGAATTTCTGTGACGGGGGTACTCTGTTGTGTGTGTATTGTTCGGCCATCGGGAAATAATCGTCTGGGGATAATAAACACCCCTTTCAAAATCCTAACCGGCCTATTATCCGGATTTGTCTAGCGTGTTGCTGTTATCTGTCAACAAAAGTGCTTATGGTGAATCCGGGTTTTCTATTACATACTTTTTATTCATTTTGACATATTTGGAACCAGAAAAATGTATAGCCGCTGTTGAAATCATCAAAAGACTTCCAGCTGAATTAGTTTAAAGACAAAGTTTATATTAACATAGTGTTAAACAATTGCAAAAAAGCATAACATAATTTTTCTTCTTTGGATTATAAGTTTTTCAAGGATAATTGGTTAAAAGTATGAACTAGTTAAAAGAAGGAAATATCGAAGAAAGATTACAAAGTGTTTTATTTCTTCTCCTTAAAAGAACTATTGTTAAACATTCAAGTGACAATTAATTTTAAAATGGGGAAATACGTTCACAACATCATGTAGATAATCCACATGATGGATATTTGGAGCATTCTAGATCCAACAAAGATTTTAATTAGGTACCGTTGTGATTCAGACATGCCACTCTAAAAATGGAGAGTCACTTACAATTCCGTGCACAGTCCCTTAAAGTTGTTTATGCTCTATTGAAGTATCTGGTGGCCTCTACATCAAGTCCTTCCCCTGACATCGTCTAAACAAAAAATATTATTATTATCTAAAATTGAACCTTCAGGGTTCCCGACAAAGAATGATACTGTAAAGATGACCTTGAAACTCTTTAAATATGACAGTTTCAAGGTTGAATTAAGTCTTTGGTGGTGGTTATTTTAAAATGGTGGATATTTTAAATGGTGGTTATTTTAAAATGGTGGATATTTAAAAAATGGTGGAAATTTTAAAAATGTTGAGTAATTTTAAATTGGTGGATATTTTCAAAATAGTGGATTATTTCAAAATGTTGGATATTTTCATAATAGTGGATTTTCAAAATAGTGAATATATGCAATGTGGTGGATTTTTTCAAAATGGTGGAAAATTTCAAAATGGTGGAAAATTTCAAAATGGTGGATAATTTTGAAATGGCGGATTTAAGAAATCATGGATATTGGCGAAAATACTTCGTAACTGCAAGTATTTGCAAAATGGTGGTTTAGTAGAAAATACCTTCATATTCTCATCCATGGGATTTATCTCTTCAAACTCTT